CAGTCATTATAAACTATATCTGGTATTATTAAAAGGGTGGGACCAATGTTCTATTTGTCATCCCTATTGTGTAGGAGCCCCCCCCCGCATGCAGTGTGTGTGTGTATGGGGAGGGGTTGCATCCCAAACCTGGAAGTAAACACGCATTGACCCCTGCTGACGCTGCATGATGTCAATGGAGCTCTGAGCATGCACACCTTAGAGCAGTGGTCCCTAACCTTGGGCCTCCAGATGTTCTTGGACTATAACTCCCAGAAGCCTTCACCACCACCTCTGCTGGTCAGGATTTCTGGGAGTTGAAGTCCAAGAACATCTGGAGGCCCAAGGTTGGGGACCACTGCCTTAGAGGGAACGTTGGATGGGTGTGAGGTTATGCCAAGCCCGCTCCCTCTTTTGTACCCTCATTTTCCTTCATATCATCAGACATAAACTCCATTTGAACTTTTAATGATTTATTCTTTTCCACTTGTATTAACTCCTTTTCCTCTTTAATAAAAAAAAAACTTAAAACTTCACTCTCCTTTAAAAACAGTGTCCATAGAAGCATCTCCAGTCTTAACTAAGCTATTAACAAGCAATGTCAAACCCTCTACCAACGGTGTAGAAGTAACATTAACATTCATCAGCGGGTTCATTTGTGAAAAAAACCAACCCAGGTTGGGCTCCAAACCCTGTGGCCTGGATCTTTGGGAAATTTGACTGGCAATTGTATCTTCCCATGACTGGTCCTAGGGGAATTTGAATGTGATTGGGTTAATAATAATAATATTTAGTACAGAGCAAAGTAGATGGTGAATTCTCAGTCTGTGTCTATTGAAAGACCACAGGGTGCTAGGATGTGTGTGTCGGGGGGGGGAGGATAGTGTCGTTTGCTGGGGCACAGAAATTGCTTCTCAGTTCCCTCCATCTGCAATTAAGCTACTGCAAAACTAAGGTACTGTCACAAGTCGTTCATGGCTGAGTAGGGATTCGAACCCTCGGCTCCAGAATCCTGGTCCGTCGCTCTATCCACTACACACCACTCTGGGAATTCTGGTTAATGTAGTCCTTTCGTATTACGTCGTGCACTTTTTAACAGCTTGGTCAGCGCGAGCAGGAGCGAGAATCTTTTGCGACTGCCAAGAGGAATGGTTTCGATTTGGTTGATTTATACTTCCGGGTTAAGAATGATGTCTATTGAGTCCTTCATGTGCGGGGGGAGGAAAGATAAGATAAAAACGGATGAAAAAAAATAGAAGACTAGATCGAAAAAGACGACTTTAGAAAAATACTTCAAAAAGTGAATGATAATTTGTTAAAAGTTAAATTGAAAATTGATTGATTACTGTTCCTGGGCAAAATTCACGTCCTTATCGTATTGACAGGAGGAGGGGAAAGCCCCACGAACTGCGAACGGAACCGGAAATGATATCTACTCCTGTTTTACACCAAAGAGTTCAGATTAAAAAAGAGCCTCTTACTTTCCTGTCCCGCGATCTGATTGGCCAGGACCTAAGTCCTGACGCGGTCTCCCGGCATTGGAATCCGAGCTTGCTGTCCAATCCGGAGAGGCCATGTCGGAGAACGTCAGAGGCGCCGAGAGTCCCGCCTCTCTCACGCCGAGCGGCCATTGGCGGCCTCGGCGGCTCCTGAGGCGGGGCCTCCTGATTGGCCGCCGCGCTGCCTGTTCCTTGGCTGACGGGCTTGGTGGGCGGGGCGGAAGGGAGGGAGGAAGGACGGAAGGAAGGAAGGAATCGCGCGCCCAGGCTTCTTACCCCTCACAGCTGAGGAAGAAGCTGAGGGGGAAGGCGGTGCCTTCGGGGAAGCGACATGGAGCTGCCCAACAGCCGGGTCGCGCCGCGGTGGTTGCTAGTCAGGGCCGTAGCGACGACGGCCTCGGTCTTCTTGCTGGCCATGGCTGTCTGCCTGGCAGTGGCGGGTCAGTCAGGGCGCTTCGCGCGGGCCGCGCCTTTCTTTCGGCCGGGTTTGTGAAGGGGAGCATGGTGGGGCGACCTAGGAGAGGCCGTTGAGGGGGTGGGTTCAGGGCCCCACAGGGTGCTAGGATGTGTGTGTTTCGGAGGAGAGGATAGTGTCGTTTGCTGAGGCACAGAACGTTAGATGGCGGGCTAGGCTCCTCTTCACTTTTTGCCTATCAGAAAAAAAATGGAATGCATTTCTCGGGATTGTGCTGGAAATGTTTTCTTGCTTTCCAGTGTTCTCATCCTTTTCAGCTCTCCTCCTCCACCCTGGGGCCTTATTCTGTGCGACGTGGCCACGTCTGACTTGACATTCAAGAGTTGACTGTGATACCGTGGTGCCTCGCTAGACAGTTACCCCCGCATGACAGCTTTTTCGCTAGACATTGACTTTTTGCCATCGCTATAGCGATTCGCAAAACAATGATTCCCAGGGGGGAATTTCACTGGGCAATGTTTGGTCCCTGCTTCACAAACCGATTTTCGCTAGACGACGATTTGCTTTTCGCTAGACAATGATTTCGCTAGACAGCGATTTCAGTGGAACGGATTATCATCGTCTAGTGAGGCACCACTTCTTTCTTTCCGTTCATAAGAAGATTGGGTAGGGTGGCTGGCTCTCCCTCCCACTATTGGGGAACTTTTTATCATCATCATTTTAGAACCACAGAGCTGGAAGGGACCATATAGATCATTAAGTCCAGCCCCTGTCAAGGAGGCACAATGGAGGATTGAACGCTCAATCTCCGGCTCAGCAGCCGGATGGAGACCTAAGCCACTGAGCTAACACCCATCAGTTGTCACAAACATAGAAACCAGAGACAATAAGAGTTGCCCTTCAACAAGCACTGGAAGGTTGGCCACATCTTCCCCATTCCTAATTTATAATCTTTTCTCTTCCTTCTCCCCAAATTTATGCAGGGAAAGATGAAAGTTGTGGCCCATATAAATCTTCTATGACAGAACACGTAGTATCATAGAATAATGGAGTTGGAATGGGCCTCCAAGACCATCAAAACTGACCTCCGGCTCAGTGCAGGAATTGTGAGATTTAGATGTGTTTGTTAGTTGTGCTGGGGCATTTGTATGTTACATTAGCATGTTCATGATCAAGACAAGTTCTTACATTTGAATTGTAAGGTGGGGAGTAAAAAGGGCCTGGCCACCTTACTTTTTTGTCATAATGAGCTGCTCATGCCACAAATGTAATTTTTAATATATATTCAGAATACAGATGCTTTGCAACTTGTACATACCCAGAAAGTGTACATTGGGAGGGGTTTGCATCCTATATAAATGATGTTTATGCCTGTGATGATAGGTGGAGGGTTAGAAAGCCCTGAGCCATGTCTTTCCTGCAAAGTAAGTTGTTTCATAAAGTTGGCAAGCTAGTAAGGTGTTGTTTTGTCTTGCTGTGGGAAACGGAAGTGGTTCTTTCTTTTGGACATTTATATAACTAAAGCTGGTGCTCCTAAAATGTTTACATTCTAGATAGTTGGAAGACTTGTCGTATTTAAGACTAGCAGATTTATTTTGGAATGAATTTTCCTGTGTTATTTACTTTTTTAGATAGATGTTGTTATGTGCTGTTGAGTTGCATCCTGCCCCCCCATGAATGAGCCATATCCAAAATGTTGTATCGTCAACAGCCCTGCTCAGCATTTGCAAGCTCGAGTCTGTGGCTGCCTTTAGGAAATAAATCCATACTCTACAGTATTTGGTCTTTTTCTCACTGCCTTCACCTTTTCTCAGCATTGTTATCTCTTCCAGCAAATTTTATCTTCTCATGATAGAGTGAAGGATTTAAACCACAGATTTATATACATAGTGAATATGGTTTTAAAGGTGAGGACACCTTAGTTTGATAGGAAATTAACTTTCAGAATGACTGTGTAACACTGGGAGTGGACTTTGAGAGTGTTGGTTACATAAACATCCTGGCTGTAGTTAGGGTAGTTAGATAATTTAAGTTGAATAATTTATTATTTCCTCTCAAGAATGTCAGGAGGCTGGACAAATCAGTGGATCCCAGCTGGTGATCTTGCCCATTGCTTATGTGTGATATGTGATAAATCTTGTCTGAAGTTAGGAGTTAGAAGTGTGCTGAGGGATGAAAGGAGTAGATTTAGGATAGTTGCACCAGCAGGCTTGGATTAACTGGGCAGCCATGACAGGTGGTACTTGGGTTCATGGCATCAGTGAAGAAGGTGCTAATTCAAATTGTGCCAAGAGTATATGTTAGTGAATAAGCAGCCACATAGCCAGGGAAGAGAAATGCATTGGAAGGTCCCAATTTACCAGGTAACTTCAAAACGCTGGTTGATGGAATTGCTAAACTTTGTATGACAGACTGTGCCAGGTAATGTTTCTTTTAAAAGCCAGAAATAACCCACAAAGAATTCAAATACAGTATACAACTAAGTGAATAGACAAGAGGTAATCTTACATATTATGTGAACACAAGACTCACTGGAATAGTACTAGGAAGAGTGGGAGGCAGTAGAAACCCTATCATTGATTTGATAAAGAATGTCGTAGCCGTTAATGATAGGGCCACTTAATTCATAAAGTCATCATAATTTAGAGGTTACTTAATGGAACATAACAACAGCTAAACTAAAACCTTAATGTTTGCTAATCTACCTCTCACATTCTCTTCAGTTGAATTCTAGTTGTTCCAACTCCGTAATTTGATCTCAGTCTTGTTCTTGTATGCTTGCAGAACCAATTAGCTGTTACATAACACTTCTATAACTGAAGTGACAATATGTCTGCTTTTCCTTGTGTATAATGATACTAATTTATTTGTAAGAGTGCTCTTCCATACCTTAGGAAGAAGCTTGTTCTGTACTTGAGGTTCTGTGAACATGTTCTCTATTGAGAGAAAAACCCACAGAACTCTTGTCTTACGAGGAAACCTGCAATTAAATCAGTGCTCTTCAGAGACCCTTTTGATTGCAATCTCTTATGAACGTTTTGCCTCATATTAATTTATATCCCAGTCATCTATTTATTGATTGATTTATTTAACTTATATGCTGCCCACTCTACCCAAAGCTTTCTGGGCGGCTTACAACAATTAAAATACAATAGAAATACAATAAAAAGATAAAACAATTACTATATAATTAAAATAGATACTCTAAAAATTGCCATTAGGGCCCACAATATTATTTCAATTAAAAGCCTTCTGGAACAGGAAGGTTTTGACCTGGCACCGAAATGTCATCAGCGTCTGCGCCAGACGAATCTCAGTCAGGAGGGCATTCCGTAGTCTGGGGGCAGCTGCTATACTGGTTTTGCAGAAGGGTCCATGTCATTAGTTCAAAATATAAAACACCTTTAATGCATTATTGTACATTGTGTAGAAATGTAATAAGTTACTATGTTTTGCTTTCTTGAAAACACTTTATGTTGTTGTTGTTGTTGTTGTTGTTGTTGTTTTGGAATATGGTAGCTTTAAAAGCTTTGTAAGTAAATGGCCCAGTGTAGAAGAATATATTTACATCTGTTTCCTAAGACTTACATCAGACTAGTAGTATTTTGGGGCTCTTGTTGATCTTTACTACAACAGCCGCCCAGAGTGGTAGAATATACCAGATGGCAGGATATAAAACAAACAAACAAACAAACAAACAAACAAACAAACATCTTCATGTTAATTCAAGAATATGCCAACAAGTAGGAGACAGAAATCAGCCTTCCAATTTTCCTACCATTAGGGGCCTTTTCACCAAATTTGGTCATCTTGTGATATCTCCAAAGATTGATTCAGGGTTTATTTGATCTAAAACCGGTTGATTTATTTTTCTGGTAGTACAGTACGTGGTATGGTCATGTTCTCACTATTAGACAGCCTTCATGGGACATCTTACCAGTCATCGGCTATTCAGCAAATTGGTTTTTCATGGAAAGACTGAACATAGCAATACCAGTGGTAAACCTATATGCTGAGCATGTTAAAATATGACTGAAAACATGCAGGAGCTGGTTGAGTCTTCAGTTGGTAGTATGCACCTGATCCTGCAAGCAGCTTTCCCAATACATAAGCTGATAAGCTGTGTGTTTAACACACAGCTAATCATGTACAGTATGTGGATGAGATAATCATATCTCCAGCCATCTGTATTTTTCTCAGTGTGTTTTTTTAAAGAATACTCAGGCTTGTGATGCAAAAGAAAGGAACAGATAAAGTTGCTATTTGTTTTCCATGCATTTCCTTACAGATTACCAAGACTCTGAAAGCCCTATTTTTTACAGTTAACACTTCTACATAGCATAGGCATCCTTCAGTCTCGAGAGACTATGGTAACATGCTCTGAATCGAGGAGTGTCCTCTCCAGAGCATGAAGCCCGGGTAAGGTAATATGGAGGATAGGCTGTTACCCAAGCAGCAGATCGCCCCTCTCCACTGTTACATACAGCACTGATGTTACCTGTCTGTCATGGGTTTGGAGGGAAAGTTCCATCCTATGGGGAGTGGAAGGCGGGACATCAGGAGGAGGGGCTGTACTGTATATATATGGGGATCTTGTGTGGAGAAGTTTAGAAAGAAGGGAAAGCTGGAGAAGAGCTGAGAGAAGAAGCTTGAGTGGGAGTCTGTGTGTCAGACAGGGTACTACTGTGTGTCAGTCAGTACCAACCTGATAGGTTCAGGTGTCTGTATGGTTAGCCAGAACTGATAGGTTCAGGGTCTGTGCTTCAAGTTAAGTGTTCTGTGTGAACCAAACTGTGTGTATGTATGATTGAGACTAAGCCACGTTACTGTATCTTATTCATTTGATCATTTTATTTTCCCTGTGTGTTGTTTAAATAAACCTTATTCCTTTATTTGTTAAAAATCCATTCCTGGTCTGTGTGACTCCTTACAGGGAATGGTTGGTGGCAGCTTAGTGAAACTATGGCATATCCCAGTAGGTCTGGGTTTGTCACATCCACATTGCTGAAATGGTCCAATGGAAAG